AAATGTAAAATACTTCTTAAAGAATTTACTAGAAGATGAAATATATTATTGAAACAGAGAGAAGAAATGTCGCGATATATTTAACTGTAATAAAAAATCGATAAGATGTAGGATATTCGTGCATGCTTTTACTTATCTACGATTCTTTTTCATTATTTGAAAATGAATGAATGCATGAATGAATAATATTGAACAAATCCTCCGTATTATCGTTCTTGTTTATGATAATTAGTTGATAAATTATGCAACGTTGTTATATAAAGCTATAATTTCTACTAAAAATGGAAGCCAGTACTATTGTTTCTTTCCCAGAAATTCGGAGTGCATGCTATATTTTGATTAACACAGTTTATATACTACACGTTTTCATTGTCTTCCGCGTGACAATTAAGGATTATGTCCTAAACTATAATCAGAATTCAACTCGTAGACGCAAGTTCGTAATCGCGCCCTAGCCCATGCGTTAAGGCTCTTTACGGAAATTCACGACTCCCAGCACTTCATAAGAAAACCTGCATCTCTCGTAGTAGCCACTTGCGAAGAGCGGCTGCCCGTCAGTAGGTAGCAGCACACAACACGTCGCGCTCAAGACAAACACGCCTTCTACACCTTCCACTTGAACCAACAACTCGGAACTCGCTGACGCCTCAGCCACGGATTGTGGCAGAGCGCGGGGGAGGGATGGAGGGGGGCTGTTGGGTGGCGCAGAGAGAAGCTGTGAGGGGTAGGATCGGGGAGGGCAGAGGCTGAGCTGGGAGGAGAGCGTGAGATAGGTTGGGATGACACATGGCATGGCATGACACGACAGGAAGACTTGGGAGTCGACGCCATTGGACGAAACGAGAAGAGTGAACGGCTCAGGGTGGGCGCAACGGATTGGGAAGAGCGGAACTTGGAGCAGAGTGACTAATTGAAACTGAACAGACAGGACGGGCGAGGCGAGGCGAATCGGAACAGGAAGGGAAGAGACCCAACGGGACGAGACGAGATCCAACGAGACGGGACGAGACTAGACGAGACCGAACGGGACGAGACGAGAGCCAATGGGACGAGACGAGTCCCAACGAAACGAGACGGGACGGGACGAAACGAAATGGGAGGAGAGGAACGGGACGTGGCGGGATGAATTAGATTACGATTGGTGAGGATGGAATGAGATGGGATGGGCCGTGAAGGAACGGGAAGCATGGGGCTTGGCAGGCCATGGGGAAACGGGAAGCGCCGAGTACGACCGGAAATGTGTGGGAAGGAGCACGGAGGAACGGAGAGCAGGGAGAGGAGAGGTGGAGCCAGCGATCACGCAGAGAAAAGGATTGCCGATCTTGAGAGAGGGAGAGAGACAGAGATGAAGAAAAGACGAGAGAGAGGGAGGGACGCCACGAGACGTGAGAGCGCCCAGCGCGCGTCTCGAGTTTGCGCTTTATCTCGTGCGCGCCGCGTCCTGAATTTATGATGGAGGTCAGAACTTCGCAGATGGAGTTTCGGCGGGGGGAAACGAGAGGAGAGCGGGGGGCGGGGTGAGGTGCGGGCGCGAAGATAGTGCAACAGTGCGTTGCGGCTGACGACGCCGCGCCCCGGCCCCCGAAAGTTGCCACTTCCGGCGCCTATCGCCCCGGTGGCTGCGGCGGGGCGGCGCCCGGCGCGCGCGGGGCGCCACTTCCAACGCCGCGGCGCGCGGCCGTGGCCGGCCCGACCTGTTTGTTTGGCTGAGCGTCTGGATGCCATTGCTACGCGCTGGGACAGCTCCGCCACTCCGCAACGAGTATGTTTAAAGAACAATTTGCGAAGTTTCCGCCCCAGCGGAGTCGGCGGCGCCGGCGTCGCCCGCTCAATCTATCCCTCGGTCCCTTATCTGGCCGCGTCCTCGTATGGTATTGAAGCGCTTGCGCGGGGTGCCTGGCGGAGGCGTGACGGCGGGCGCGGCGGCGTGCGCCCGCCCACAAGCAGTTTGCTCACGAGCCGCCCCGCGCAAATTGGATCGCGGGGGCGGAGGGGCCGGCGCGGGCGGAGGAGAAGGCGCAGATAAGGCAGGGTGCAGTGCGGGGAAGCGTCTAGCAGTCGAGGAACCGATAGTTAACGCGAGTAGTCGGCGATTCACTCGTTGAAGTTACGGCGAGAGGCGGACGCTTGTTCGTGTCCGACGCCGGTGAATAAGGTTCTGTTAATGGACAGCCCTAGGAGGGTTACTGGTTGTTTGCCGGAAGAGCGGAGGCTGTGCGTTCGGGTGTGTGTTCTGTGCGGAGAGAACTGACACGGCTATCAGGTCGGACTCAACATGCTAATTCGCGTTTATGCAAATATCAGAAGGGTGTAGTTTCGTAATGAAGTTAGACGACAATCTAGGTGACATGTTTGTTATCTTAGTTTTAAAAGCGTGAGCTGTAAACCTGTTTTTGTGTGCCATTTTTGTACATAAAAAACGGAAATTAAAATTATTCTAGAAATATGTATATGATGCATTAAACTTCGTGTTTGGGCACCAAATCTGTCATGAGAATCTTCTATAACTGAAGCAATTACAAATATGAATGTTGTTAAGAATACAATTACTACGAAAAAACAAAACAAAATATGTTTACCAACTTTCTAGGTAACAAGCATTAGTTATAAATTTGTGGGAGTAAATGACCATAGTGCCAAAAATCTTTCTTCTTAAAATTGGGAAAATCTTGTCATCAACTCAATTATGCGCTTAGCAACAGCACTATCATTCGCCTATACAACTAATACGATGTAATACGGCACAAAGATTCATTGACATTGACACGTACATACCAGAATACATGCGAGTACAACATGAAAATCCCATTTGTTTGCACTCATTTCGCTTGTCCCCGTTCACTTTAATTTATTTCCATTTGTATGATGGTATGTAAAAGCTATATCACTTAAGATTTTTAGCGCTTCTTTTTATATTGTAGAGGAGTACGTTTAAATACTATGTCCTTTTTTGCCTTACGTTTGTACGTTTAAATACTATGTCCTTTTGCTAGAATAAAATTTTATTTGCCTTAAGGATTGATTATTCATTATTTGAGCCAGAATCTGTACTACAACTATAACCCTTTACGCATAATCGTATAATTCTACTCTACTACTGGTGGCGTAGCGTGAGGGAAGACAAGAAAGGCATTGCCTACCCCAGAAGAATATTAATATGTAGAACACGAAGAGACGAGCAGAATCCCTCGCGTTGATTCAGCGCCCTGCCAGCTACGTTATCCGTAGCGAAGGGAATTTATTGCAATAAAAAAGCAAAATATGTACATATATCATTTATTTTTCCAAAATATATAATATATGTAAAATAGAGAAAATATATAATATATGCAAAATAAAAATGCAATATAGTGTTTGAAATGACTCTATACAAACATTTTCTGAGCACAGAACGTTGCCGATAAAGCCCCGAAATAGTTTCGTAACGGCGGAAAGAAAGTTCTACCTATTCAGACGTAATTGTACACTGGTTTTCATTAAACATAAGATTTTTATTCTCAATGTAAAATACTTTCGTAGTATAAAAAATGTTTATTACGAGGAGTCGGTGTTCAAATGAAGCCATGTAGCGCAAAATGGACGGGAGTATAAGAGATGATACCCTCGCCCTCCCCAAATCACGTTGAAGCAATCAGTAAAAAATAATTGTTAGTTTTCGATCGAGTTAAGCATGATCATCACGAAACACGAGGAAATCACGAGGTTGAAATTCTTCTGTTTTACAAACCCTCACTCATCATTGATTCCGAATTTGCGGTTTCTAAAAAGCAAAGGGGAAGGAGCAAAGTTTCACAATGGCGAAGTTCAGGTGGCCATAGCAGCACCTTGTAAGAAAGAGTATTCCAATTACATAATATTGCCAACTCGCATTTGAGGGGGGATTCTCAGCGGGCCGCTTATTTTCCATAAAGACGGCTCCACACATTCGGCATTCGCCGAGCAGGAGCGACTGCTGGTCCAATCTCGAACAGGTGATGTGTTCAGTGAATGTTCGCTTCCTTTGATGTGTCCAAAAGATCGACAAGCTGCGCTATAGGTAGGGCGAGCACTGAATGTTCGTCACTCGACAAATTCCAAGCAAGCAAATTAAATAAGCTATAATAAAGAAATAAATTTATTCAAAGACGAATTAGAAGAGAAAGAAAATTTAAAAAATATAGAGGCGAGTACCATCATTATCTATCACGCGTTTTAAATAAATTTAAAAATATAATTATGTAATAAGGTATGGACTTGTATTTATAGAACCTGATGATGAGAACAAGACAAGATCCTGAAACGTCGTGTAATAACGAAAATATTTTTGAAAATTTTCGTAATTTCTTATGATTTCTTACAGCATAAGAAATTAATTGTATCATCAAGTAACAGCAGTTCTTGATGAAAAAGGGAATGAAATAACAGAGAAACACTTTTCCTCTATAACGAATGTTAACTAGTCCACAATAATAGATCACGATCTCTTGAATACATATCACAACTGTGCCAAACAACAATTTGGTCCGAATATCATCAATTCGTAAGTATACACGGGATTATAATAACTTAACGCGTAAATAACGCAATAAGGTTTGAATTCCCGCAGTTTTTCCAAAAGGAAAATTTAAGAAAAATGAGACTACACTTACAAGCTACGAACGTCATTAAAACAGCAAATATATTTCCAAAACGTTCAATAATATCTAGCGAACGTTTTGTCAGGTACACTACATCACAAAACAATGCCGTACAATGCCGTACAAAATGGTGACATAATCTGAATGTTGACAATAACATCAAAGCATGGCAACACTATGAACCTAGATAATACGAACCAATACAGCATCATCAACATCATTTCGGAGATGTGTGCCCCTCTGGTTAACTTAAAATAATATAACAAATAAGTGCATATATAACGGAAATATTATTATTATTATTATTATTATTAATCAATTATTTAAGCTAGCCTTCTACTCTGTGTCGCACAGAAAATGATAATTTGGCCACCCCTTTTTGAAAAATGTTTTAATAGTCATTAGCTCTATTGTCATTCGTGATGACATGTCCAATAAAATTTCCTGTACTGAAAATATATTCAACGATGAATCATACTGATGCATTGCGAATTACCGTTTATCAAATCCGTATTCACATCTCGATACATTTTAGGACTAATATAGATGTATCATACAGAAAATTCATACGATCATATATCATTCAATAATGACAAATTAAGTTCATTTATTCAAAGGAAACTCATTCAAAATATTTGAATTTATCAAATATCTACATTATCATTAATATTGAGAGCATTTCATTCAAACAAACCTACTCCTAAGTATTTACTACTTTCTTAGTTAACTCCTTCCACACCAAGCAAATACTCATTAATACAAGTAAACACATTTCAACTTCTGATTAAAACAGAGTAATTAACAACAGATTGTTGAAACACAAATTACATGATTATACAACATATTGAAAACTAACATGTTGTTGAATTATAGAGAATTATAAGTATAAAATGTAATAATATTAACAGTTGAATCATTTTGTATTAATTGCTTACAATTTAAAATGTATTAACTCCCTAAAAAAAGGATTTTTGACGAAGCACATTTTATACCATAATTAACACCATCGTGAAACTTAATTATGATCACCGATTGATATACAATTTGCGAATCGAATTTCCTCTGCATTAATCTTCATTCTTTCCGTCTTATTGATTTGTGACCTGTGCTTCTCAGTGGAATATGTTCGATTCGGTTAAAAACATTAGTATAAATAACTGCATAATTAAATATACATCTTGTCCGTAATAAGGAAATTCATTTTGTACGTAGAACTTTGAAAAACAACAAAGTCAGTATGCAAAACAACATGATTATGAAACTTGTATATAAATATGTTTAAAATACGCCAATCCATTCAAAAAGAAAATGTGTTCATTTTAAAACAAAACTACCATTTGTATTAAATACCAATAATTTCCCGTGTTTCTAATTAAAAATTCCGTATTATCCTTCTCTTCTACATCTTAACTCATGATTCAAATCGTCGTGAAACATATCGGCGACGATTGACAAGTACACGATTTGCAAATCGATTCTCCTGCGCATGAACTCCTCTTTCTTGGCTGACAGGTTGCTCTTCAACCACTGGTAGTCGGAGCGCAGCATATGCATATACCACGCGTGGTCCTCGACGTCCATGGACTCTACGACGTCGGGCGCGTTCATGGCCCTCTTAACGTTGAGCAGACACACCTTGAACAGGTCCCTGGCCACGAGGCGGTCCCGCTCGTTCTCGTCGTCCTCGCGAAAATACTCCGCCTCGGCCAGCACGCGCTCCACCTGCTCCTCGCCGATGTGGTCCTTGCTCGTTATCGCGACGAAGTGGTTCTTGATGCCGGTGCTCCGCTCGCACGCCGTCACCGTCAGTAGGCCGCTCGAGTCCAAATCAAACGTGATATCGATTTGAGGAATTCCCCTCGGCAGGAGAGGGATCCCGTCCAAGGTCAGAGTCCCCAGCATGGTGTTGCTTGTCGCCAGAAGGCGCTCGCCTTCGAACACGTTGAGTGTAATGGCTTGCTGGTAGTCGTGATACGTCGTGTAGTTGACGGTCTTCTTCACTGGGAGCTCGCTCCGTCGCGGGATGATGACGGTCATCGCAGCCCCGGGAGCCTCTATGCCAATAGAGAGCGGTGACATGACGACGGGGCCTTGGGCGTAGACGATTGCCGCCTGCATGGCCGCGCCCGTCACCACCGTCGTCTCGGGCGAGACGGGCTGCGCTATCTCCTTGTCGAAGAACACCCCGATCATCTCCCTGATCTTGGGCATGCGCGTGGCACCGCCCGCCAGCACCACGCGGTCGATCTCCCCGCGCAGCACGTTCGCCACGAACAGCACGTTCTCCAGGTGTTGGAACAGCAGCAGGAACAGGTCGTGGCACAGCGCCTCGAAGCGCTGGCGGGTGAGCGTGGCCCGGAAGCTCAAGCCGTGCAGCTCGGCGGCCACCGTCGCCTCGTCGGCGTCGGAGAGCGCGCGTTTGGCGCGCTCGCACGCCGCGCGCAGCACGCGCACGGCGCGGGCGTCGCCAGTAATGTCACGGCCGTGCTGCTGGCGGATCTCCTCCGCGAAGTGCGACACCAGGCGCACGTCGAAGTCCTCGCCGCCCAGGTGGCCGTCTCCCGTGGTCGCCTTCACCTCGAACGCGCCGTTCGCCACCCGCAGGATGGACACGTCGAACGTGCCTCCGCCGAGGTGGAAGACCAGCACGTTGGGAACCTCAGCCGCCTGGACAACATCGTAAGGAACTGTCGTCACTGCTCTGAGGAAGCCTGCGACATGTCAGGCGAAACGTCGGCCTCTCAGCCAACGACGCGGCGTCTCCCGAATTGCCCAGAATTTAAACATCGTAAGAAGTCTTCTTTTCCAAATTCGTTTAGCATAAAAACGATAAAATATATAGAAATAAACGTAGAACAAAAATGGATTAAAATGTTGTTCATGTAGTCACGAAAAATCCATATTTTACAATAAATTTGTTTATTCACGTAGTTCACAAACACATTTTTAGCTAATATGTAAAATCTACGATCTTAAGATATTTAGCAGGTTAGTCACATATTCGTCGTCGACTGATATTTTAAACGTTAGTTTAATTTTCGTTGTATTGTATATTTGCAAATCCACTCAAACATGCATAAGCAAACTGATAAATCTCCTATATTGCGCTAAGAAAGGAAATACTTTTTACCAAGTGATGGACACTATCGACACAAAACCTCGTTTGTAAGCTACTACTGGACAGAGAGAGAAAGAAAGTGAGAGAAAACACTCAGTTCTCCATCAAACACATTTCAGACGAATAATAATAATGATAATAATAAGTAGTAAATTTTAATTAAAACTTCTTTGCATATTTTATAATCTAACAAATAGGCGCTGCGTTCCTCATGCAGTAATCCATAAAACATAACTTTTTCAACATTGGATTACGGTTTTTAAGGTTCGCCCATTCCGTAGCACGAGGTGCAGTACCGTTCTTTTAAGACACTTTCAAAACAACGATTTACAATGCGCTGTATGTACACACAGGCCCGACTAGACAACATTTTTCCAACATGTTATAAACTATTGTCAAATAAGCGTAAAAGTATTTTAATATGAAATTGAATGAAATGAACATTTCAATTTTTACTTCCATTTAAAATATTATTTAACACTTTCTGAAATTACACGAGTAAATTTATAAAGATTATTCTAAAACTGACAGAATATTATTTAATCAGGAAAAACAGAAATTGTCATTGAAGAAAGCAAATTAAAAATTAATTACTTGTGAAGAAATCTAGGCTGAAAGGGAACTATATACTACATACGCAATACGAACTTAAAATACGCAATGAGTATACAGGCAAATAAAATTATCAAAATTTAGAATTAGTTTTCAAATATTACTCTTTCAGTGTACTGACCAGATATAATCCATGCGAAAATCCAGCAGCTACAGAATCGCTTATTATTCGAAGAACATTCAATTCTGCATAATGACAACCCTCGACAATTGCCCGTCGTTGTAATGCGTTGAAACTGTGGGGAATTGTTAAGATCACATTAGCGACATTTGTGCCTAAGTAGCAATAAGCCATTTTCTTCAGTTTTGTAAGTATCATGGCACAAATTTCCTCTACTAAATATGTGTTTACTTTCCCAATCTCAGTAACTTTAATTTTTGTTTCTTTTCTATCCGTTATTACGTGAAATGGGCAAAACTTCATGCCGTTTTTTCTTCTGACTTCGTAAAAATCCATACCTAAAATACGTTTAATACCTAGGAATACAAAGATAATATAAGTAACGAAGTACATGAGCATAATATATTTTATTATTTTATTATTTTAATATTTTCAATTTTGTGCAAAATAAAACACGTACTAAAATAAAGTCCTTTTACTTATTCTAATTTATATCCAAGTTTTATTAAATATAAATCATCACAAAATATCACAAATCATTATAAAATATCACAATATCTATGTTGTGAAAAAGTTATACATCGTTATAATAAATTCATCTAATGATAATTTATTACTCTTTACTAGTTTAAATAAAATAAAATTACTAATCTTCGTATTGAATGTCTGTGAAATACAGTAAGGCAACTGAACTCTTATCTTACAAATAAAATAATAACAACTTTGATATTTCATCAGACTTCAATTTGGATGTAAGTTATTCATAAAATTATAAATACATTTTAAATATCAATTTATGTAAATACTTTTTTAAAGTCATGATATAATTTCAAAGCATATTTCAATACATGAAAACATACTTTCAAGAACAGTTACTAAATTGGATTTCGATTCCTGCGTGGGGAAATTCAAAAGGAAAAGGCCATGCAATTAAAAATAGTTCTTACCATATATTGTGTTGTGTGGATTTAGAGCAGCCTGTTTCAACGCATCTTCCCCAATAACACATCCGTCATCAGTAAATGCTACATAACTAGGGATTTTTACGTTGCCATGGTCATCACTAACAATATGAACCTGATCGCCTTGTACAACACCAACAGAGGAGTAAGTAGTACCGAAGTCAATTGCAATCACAGAAAATACTTGTTCACCATCACCCATATCGTTACAGTGATTGTTAAATTTATAGTTAAAATTATTAAATGAAATAATTTTAAGTAGAAGTCCAAATAAGTTATATTCCCCTTATCAAATCCGTAAACCTGTTCTCAACACTTCTCAATATTTATCACGAATTTACTGAATTGGTCAGCTTTTGTTTAAACAATTACAAAAATGAAACAAAAGATCACCCGTACTTCATTAATCTCTCGAAATCTACGAAGATAAAAGGATTTTCGTATTCAATTTAGCATTTTGTTGTCTCGCATACCGGAACAAATGAGTTCTGAAAATGACGAAAATTTGTTTAGAAATTTTAAGAACTGCGTCGCCAAATATGAAAGATGATAATAAATACACGATAAATGTACACATTTGCTATGAATGTTTATGTTCAAATGCATTAAAATAATAAGATACGTGTTTCATAGGACTTTGTACAAAATTACAGCACTATGTACCATTTTCTGAGATATATAAGCCATTTGCCTATTTTATTAAGATTATTCATTTATTAATATGTTTTAAGTTTGGCGATGTAAAGAACACAGCTGTTCGGAGTCTCTATTTAGTTCAATATTTTAAATTGATTTTAAAAGTAATTTTAACGTTTAATTTTGTTCCTCGGTTTTCTACTCATTATATTAATAGACCATGAGATTTTCATTTTTCTGACAGATTAAAGTTAGCTACTTATTTAATGACCTGGCGAGTCACGTTGCTTTCGAACCATGAACATTATTTTATAATTCAGGTTTTTCATAATATTATGTTCAACTTTCTTCTGATATTGGAAACTTTTCTAATTCTTCTGAGGTACACTTTGTCTAATATATGACACTATTATAAACAATTGATATTTTATTTACATTTCTTTAATACTTACAAGTACTACATTTAGTGAAGATAAACTCATCTAAAGAAAAGCAATATTAAAATTATTTGGTTAATTAAACAAAAGGTTCAATCGTAAGGGCGTATTATAGACTATTACTTGTATAACATGTTTTACATAATTCTATATTTCAGAAACGATTCAATAAAAAGTCTAAACAACAGCGTTCAAAAATTACCAGTATTTAGTGAAAGGTTCCTTCTACTTTTCTTTAAAATGTATTATTCACAAGTATTATCTCAAGGGCGTAATACCATTTTACCGACTAAGTGCCTAAACAGAATTCCTATTAAAAAACTTCCCGTTTGTAAGAATTTCCTCTGGAACTTTGAGGTCTTGAGTACATGTTATCTGTTAGCTACATAAAAGTCTGTTAAGTTTAAATTCTACAAAAAAATGCATTGATACAATATGTTGCAGAAATATTAACAAAAGTTTTTGAAGGTTATTTTGAAATTACAAATCAAATATCAGAGATCATGAAAATATGTTTCAAATAAGAATGAGAAAATAATTTACTATATCTTAGGTCATCCCGCTCCCGTGTAACGAGAAACTAGATGCTACAACAGAACGTACTGCATTTCATTATTGGGAACTGTGATGTAAATTATAATATTGCAATTTATGCCCAACTAACACTCCAACCATCACTTGAGAGAGTCTAAATCAACACAAACGAAACGCCCGTGGGGCATATGTGCAATGATTTTGAAGTAGTCATTTCTTACTTCTACAAAACAAACATGAATAAATCTCAACTAGTTCTATCAGTCAGAACTGTTGCGGTTACCATTGACAATCACACATCAATTCTCTGAAATATTTAAGCCGGTCTCCCCCGAGGATCTCCGTTGTCTCCTACACTCTTGAATATCTACGTACCTGACATCCCAGTAGCACTCAACGCCAACATCGGGCAATTCGCTGACGATACCATTCTGAATGGGTGCAGTTATTCATTCAACATCATAAGAAATAAGATACGAATACTCCTAGACAAAATCGATGAAAATAAAATGTAAACTCAAACTCAATGCCGAAAAATCTAATGCAAAAATCTTTACACTCAGACAAATTTTCACCATTCCCCCTCTTTCAATCAGTAGTTCACCAATTCCTTGGACGACTCTCAATCAAAACATCAAATATCCAGGACTAAATATTGATACGAAACAATATTGAAAAGATTATATAAATTCAAAAAAAATTAAGCAAATATAGAGATCCTCCAACTAAAACCATTCATTAACTACAAAAGTAAAATGTCTTTAAACAATGAAATAGCTCTATAGAAACATATTATGCGACCTATTAATACCTATACGTGTCCCATGTAGTTAAATGCCTCAAGAACCAAATTAAACCAAATCTAAATCATTCAAATAAATACTTCAGAACAATTATTCAAGGCTCATGGTTTGTATCAAATCTTCAGATGCACAAAGAATTAAATATCCCTTACATAATTCCATTCATCCAAGATCTCCAGCAAATTCTTCTCATGCATCAACAAAAACGACCACCTATGCCATTTCGACCTCACTCAAATCCCAGATTCCTGTACAAGAATTAAAAACAGGATCCCAATTCAAGCTTTTTTGAATATACAGACCGAGTTGGAGGATAAGTAAAGAGCTTCATGAGATCACTTACCCTGAGTAGTTAGCTTTAGAATTATGTTAGTTTTTAGGTTAATTTAAATCGTAAAACATGCATATGTAAAAGAACTATAATACTAATTTATGTAACTTGCAATTCCAATAAAAGAAAATCAAAATGAAAAACAGTCTCAAATATTACAGTAATTGCAGCACAGTGTCGCCTAAGATAACACTGAGGTGGAAATCCGAGTTTTGAGCACTATAATTCCCGATCAAACTCTTAAATTTTAGGAATTGTATAAATTAAACATTCATAATTGAAGACCATCCAATATTATCTTATAAATGCTGAAAGATAAGATCACAAATATATTGTTTTGCACTGAACAGAATACAGCTTTACTATGCACACGTTTTGTCCAACTCTCTTCTTTCTTGTATTGGTAGGAGAAAAGGTAAAGGTAAGTTACTATTTTGTTGGCAATACAGAGGAATGAAATCTGTAGTTCGTTCTCCGATGCAAATAAATTTTCTGTAACTCTGGAACGGACATATCTAGTTTCTACAAATGTTGCTAATTTCTTTTAATTTATTATTATTATTATTTTATTTATTTATTACTTTTATTCATCTTCCTGCTTATTTATAGTTCAAATGTTGGAAACGGGTTCTCGAACTCAAGAAAACGTGCGCAGTTGATTTACTGTTTTTTGACTAAATAAATCAATCTATCACATTTTATCATTTAAATATTATGTGGAACACAATAGAAATTGCTTGCTCTCACGGCCTCGTTCGCGCCTAATTTTTGTCCGGCGCTCTCGTTGTTTAATAAGCATCCCTCCCTTTTAAGATAATTTCTTTTATAGGGAATATTGGTGTTCTGACCTACATCATCTCTACCAGACCTACACAAATATACTTGCACAACAAGTAACTATGAAAAATTGAAAATATAAACGACACCTTTTTATGATGTCCTTTCACTAACAATAACTTTCCGCAAAATCTTTCAGCAGTTTTTTTTTGTTCTTACGGCAATATTTAAACTATCAAAAACAATACGGGGAAATATGTTGCCAGAAATATCTGAGCAAGATTTTTGCGACAAAATATGGGCGATCATTTTACAATGAACGTTTTATTGGCATATTTGGTGAAGTCCCGAAGATGTCCGTGAATTTAAGTGAGGATAGACCTCATTTTTTACTTCCCAGTATACATACGTATATACGGAGTAGTAAACGTATTTAGGGACAGTTATGTAGTGCTGCGCGAAAAAAACCGCGATTTTCGACAGAAAAAAATTCGTTGCTGGGCCTTGATAAAGAAAACGTGGACAAATTCAGTTGCTAAATTAAGGGGGATAATCCTCTAACACGTGGTGTAGCGAGAATTTTTGTTTTGTGGGTCCTTGATATCGAAAAAGCAATTGACGCCCAAACGTCCGTC